AGGAACAACGGGTATCATGCTGGAGGATGCCCAAGGGAATGCAATTAGGTCAGCAGGAATGGTCACGGCAGTGATCTCAGTGGAACAAGGAGAGGACTGTTGGACAGCCCCAAGTATTTCGGAAAGCTTTATTGTAAGCGATGCGACAAACATTCTGTTGTCGATGGGAAGACTGCTGAAGAATGGCTGGAAACTGGAGTACCAGCCGGAAGTACCTGAGGGTGAAAAAGCTCTTAGTGCTCAGTGGAACCTTACAGTGTCGTCAATGGTTCTGGTTAGCCCAGATGGAAGAGCAAACGCGAGGATCTTTTACAAACGGAACAGTTGTTGTTTGTTAGGTAGATTATCTGTTGTCGGAAGTGATCGTAGCGCCCGTTGGACGGGAACAGGTCAGAGCGACGGAAGCTCAAGAGGTAGCACTGACAGTCGGACTGCAGTGGAGAGAAGCGTCACAGTACGTATTCCAAACTATTTACGGGAACTGTTGGACAGTACTCCCAGTGGTAATTGGACGATCATGGAAGACGGTACACCTTTTATTTTGTATCAAGGAACGACTTATATGGATCCTAAGGATGCTTTTCCAGGATGGAAGTACAGGACGACAATGGTGTCAGAAGGAGGAAGTGAATGGTCATTGGTCGAGTTGTACTCGGACTATGGTTCTATCAGGAGCCACAATGTAGAAATTGCAGAGTGTCATGGAAGACCGAAAAGGATCTGTGTTATCCTACATGCAGTGAGTGGAAACTTTTTCTTTCAAACTTTTCCAGAACCCAGAAACCTGTTTTCGTGTGCTTGAGACAGCACTTGCAAAGAACAACTTGTGACCGACTGCAAGGCTCAAAGAAGTGTGAAAATAAGTGACTCGTGCGTTTTCCGCGCACTCTGTTGTGGTAGCGGAGCCTCGCCAACAGGGCAGGCTCGTAGGGTAGCTAGCTTGTGCCCCGGGCCCTTGCTAGTTCTTGAGCCCGATTGTGATCGGCATACTCCTCGCGTGTCGTGTGCCCGAGTGCTGTGGCGGCCAGAGCTTCTACGTGACTTACCTCTTTGGTTTTCTTCAAAAGTCGGTCAAGTGTGTGTTCTTTGCGGTGCTTGCAGAGAGGATACAGAGAACTGAGCCTTGAGCCATTGAGTTTGACATGTCGAGTCCTCCTCAAGGAGATCAAGGACCCCAGCCTGGGGGAGGAGCATCCCCTGGAGGTCAGAGTGCCACGTCGGCACCTGCAGCAGGTTCGGCGCCCACGCCGCCTGTGGACCCTGGAGTTGTAGTGCAGCAGTTGGCAACAGCTTTGTCTTTGCTGGCTGCGAACCAGCAAGAGTCTTCTGTGAGAGAAGCCAAGTTTGTGAAAGCTCCTGATGTGTTTGCGCCCAAGACCCTTGATGAAGAACTGGCCGGTTGGCCGGATTGGTCCTTCTGTTTTCGTAATTGGCTTTCAGTACAGGACGGGGCATTCAGGGACGATCTTCTGAAAGTCGAGAAAGCCACCGAGATCCTTGCATTTGCCGATTACGAGTCCGGAACCAAAGCTCGAAGTATCAGACTGTACTCAATATTGGCGACTTATCTTCGGAACCGTCCTCTCCGATTGCTGCGTTCAGTAGCAGACGGTGACGGGTTCCGTGTGTGGCGCTCTTTGGTAGATGAACTCCAACCTTCTAGTCGTCCTCGAGCACTTGCGTTGGCGCAAGCTTTGGTAAAGTTCCCACCGTACAAAGAGGGCGGCAGTTTGCTAGACTACACCCTTGCGTTCGAGAGACTCCTCACAGAGTACGCCAAGGTTGCACCTCATCCTTACGACGACAACTTGAAAATTTCAACGCTCCTGGCAGGACTGCCTAGCGACGTCAGGAAGTACCTGGAGTTGAACATGGACGACAGCATGACCTATGAGAAGCTGCGCACCCGGTTGCTGCAGTATGAACGGACTTCCGCAGGGTGGTCTTCTGAGCATGTGTTGCGGTCGGTTGGCATCGACAAAGATTCGAAGTTCTTGGACACGTCAGATGTTGTGCCTATGGAAGTAGATCGCGTTGAGAAAGGAAAAGGGAAGAAGGGCTTTGGCAAGAAGGGCTCCGGCAAGAAGGGCGACAACAACTTCTATCAGAAGGGCAAGGGTGATCATTGGAGCAAAGGTAGTTTCAACAACAATGCCTACAATAACAACTACAAGGGCGATAAAGGAAAAGGAAAAGGCTCTTGGGGAAAGGACAAAGGAAAGGGGCATGGAGGCAAGAAGGGAGGCAAAGGAAAAGGCAAGCAGATTGGTCCCTGTCACAAGTGCGGTCGCATGGGACATCTTCAAGCTGATTGCAGAGTAGGGTTTGTGCAGCAAGTTCAGCAGCCAGTTCCAGATGATGCTTCTACTGGTATTCCTTCGTCTGCAGCGTCTACTACTAGTGTGCCTTCGTCTTCTACCTCTAGTGCCCGGAACCCCTCGAGAGCAACCACAAATGTTCGTCGTCTTGAAGTAGTGCAAGAGCAGCCCAATGACATCAACCTAGTGATCTTCGAGACTCCCCAGACTCCCACCTGTGAGTTCTTCGATTTGGCCTGTGAGGACGATGACTGGGATGACTATCTCGACGAGCCCGATGAGTACCAGGTACGTGCCGTGGAACTTTGTGCGGGAAGTGCCTTAGAAGTTGAAGCTGAAGCCGAAGCTGAGCTCCAGTCGAGTAGCACGCTGGTGTTTGACATAGCGGAGAGTGATGAAGACAGTGATTGTGAGCATGACGTTCGCATGGTCAGTGAGCAGCCGATGCAGCATGAGTTTGAGCAAGTGATCTTGGATTCTGGAGCGGATGTGACAGTGCTTCCCCTCTCCCACGGCGCGGTAGGAGAACCCAATGCAAACAATACCATGATCCGCGATGCCCAAGGTAATGTCATCCCGATGGCGAGCTACAGAAAGAACGTGGTCTTTGAGGTCGAGGGCAACGAAGGCCAGCGCCTGTTCTTCCGGGACAAGGTTGTCGTAGCTCAAGTGAAGCAGCCTCTTTTGAGTGTGGGGAAGCTGATTCGAGATCACTGGAGTCTCGGGGATGTTGACGGCCGTTTGCAGATGAGCATGGGGGGCAACAGCTTCCCAGTGCACATGTCTCGGAACTCGCTTGCAGCAAACATGAAGATTTATCGACTTGAGGAGCATGTCCGTGCAGTTGTGATTGAGCTTTCCGAGTTGATGGAGAGCGGCACTGAGATTCAAGGGTGGAGCCTCTCCCCGGATGGGGGCCCCATGCACGTGAGCACAAGCAGCAGCTGCACCGTTGATCCTTCTCTGGTGTTCCCTTCGCAGCAGTGGCCGTTTCGCACCACGTTGCTTTCACAGGGTGATCGTCGATATGAAGTGTTTGAGTCTGGTGAATATTGGGAGGATCGGAAAACTTTGAGCACAGAACGTCCTGCAACCAAAGTTGTTACTATTTTGAGTGCTGCACCGGTGGAGCCCAGGGACATTGGAAAGGTGATTGTACATGAGCAGTTTCGTCCTGAATACATTGTTCCCGAAGAAGCCCCTGCTCATGATGACGGTGATGGTTGGATGGCGGCGGCCCCTGAACGTGTTCCCGACTCTTCTCCAGCCCAGGTTGATGGACAGCGCGGTGGCGGCGCTGAAGAACGAGGCGATCCTGTGGGTCCCGAGGTCCACCTGGCTGCGGGGAGACAAGCAACTTTGGTGGTTAATGATGTTGAGCTCACTGAAGACTCTTCGCTGAAAGTGTTGCGTAGAGCATGTCAGTTTCTTCGAGTGAGCAAGAACGGGAGCAAGGCTGTGCTGTGGGGCAGGCTTCAGAGTGAGGTAGCAGATTCTCAGCTTCGACATTCTGTGCAAGCAGCTGATGCAGTGTTGGAAGCATACCGCCGCGAACCTCAAACAGAATCTGGAACAGCTCCTCCGGATGCCGAGACGGTTGCACTTCATGAAATCACCCACTGCCCCAGAATGCCGTGGTGCAATGCATGTGTGGCTTCGCGATCTAGAGAGGACAACCATTCGGCAAGTACTCCAAAAGAGCTGGGGGTGATCCACTTTGACTACATGTTTAACAAAACAGAAGCAGCCCAAGGAAGCCCTGAACACCCCATGGCAGTGCATGTCGTTATGGTCGATGAGCACACAAACTTTGTGCAGTGTGTGCCTGTGGAGTCGAAGAGTGCAGAACATGTGCGTGTAGCAGTCGATGAGGCTGTGAAGATGGCCTCTCTCCTTGGCCACACCAATCTGACGCTGCGTGGAGACAGCGAGCCGGCGATGAAGGCGTTCATGGCAGCGATCGTGCAAGCAAGGAACCGATTGGGGTTAGCGACCAAGGTTACTTATTCCGCACCGGATTCGAGCTTGCATCAAGGTTTGAAGGCAGAGCGCTTTATTGGCATTGTTCGGGGTTTGGCCAAGACTTTGCTGAGAACGATTGAAGAGCGGACTGGATTCCAAGTCCAGAGTGGGCACCCGGTTTATGTTTGGGCTTTTCGACACAGTGCCTTCCTTTACAGCAGGTTTCATGTGCAACGTGACGGCATGACTTCATTCGAACTTGTGCACAGTCGGCCTTATGCTGGGAAGCTTTGCGCTTTTGGTTCCTCGGTGTTCTCCCAGTAGCTCCCACACTCTGCTGCTAAAGGAAGCGGTTGGAAGAGATCGATTTTCCTTGGAAAGTCAACACTTGGCAACCTGAACATTGTGGCTGACAGCTCAGGTGTGCACTATGCCAGAACGATGCGAAAAGGTGCCTTAGGATTTGAAAGTGAGTTGATTGCGAGCGCAAAGGGAGTGCCCTGGAATGCAACATTGGATGTTTTGCCAACAAAGAGGTCGAGGGCCCCAAGGATTAGAGCACCAGCACTTATTGAGCCAGTTGATCCTGTGGTTCATGCGCCGGGCCCTGGGCCCGATGAAGCTGCGAGCGACCCCACGTCGCCATCCGCGAGCCAGGGTAGTGCTGCTAGTGTTGGTGGAGTTGGCTCTATGTCGACTAGTTCCTCTAGTTCTGCTGAGATGATGACGGATGCAGAGATGGGCCAGGCCTCGGCACACAGAGTAGATGGTGGTGATCCTTGTGAAGCTTTTGCAAGAAGGGTTCGAGAGGACCAACCGTGTGGTCACGAGCCAGAGGTGATTCCGGAAACAGACATGGCCTTGAGCTTCGAAGATGGAGTGGAAAAGGAAGAAGATGAAGACCCGAACTTAGAAGCTAAGCAAGCAGCCAAGGAGTGGGCACATCGTCGATACGAGGATGGACCTCCGGAGCTCTCCGAGGAGTACCTTTGCCGCCTTGACGCAGCTATGGATGCTTTGGAGGTAAAGCGTTTGTTGGCACTTGGGGTGGTTCGCAAGCTTGGGGAGAAACAGCAAGGGGGGAATGCGCCAGAAGGAATGAAGAAGCTTCAATCACGATTCGTTCGTGACTGGCGCTTCCGCGGCAACTGCTGGATTAGGCGATCAAGGCTTGTCGCCAAGGAGTTCAAATTCTTGGAACCCGAGCTTGAGCACCTGTACGCACCAGCTTCCATGGCAGTACTTCAGCGTGTCTTTGCAGGGTTGTGTGCGAGTGGTGAGAATTTGGTGCTTTATAGCGTTGATGTGAGTGATGCTTACCTACAAGTTCCACAGAGCTGCCCTACATGCATCATTTCGAATGACGGAGAGTATCTTGAGCTGTTGTACAGCCTTCCTGGTCAGAGGGATGCTGCTCGAGGGTGGTATCTTCACCTCAAGGAAATCGTCAAGGGCAATCGCTTGAAGCCTTTTGAAGGTGCTCCTGCAGTGTTTTATGAGAAAGGAAAACTTGCGTGCAACAGCCATGTAGATGACTTGCAGCTTTGTGGCGGTGACGCTCGCGCACAGGAGTTACTGGACGGCCTGAAGAAGGGCGGCTTGAAGGTCAAGGTCGAGGGACCTGTCCGAATTGATGGAGGAGAGTGTCGCTTCTTGAAGCGGTTGTTCGTCGGGGATGGTTCGGGCATTTTGGTTGTTCCTGAAGAGAAGTATGTGACCAAGTTGTGCGAAATATTGAAGCTTGAGAGGGCAGCCCCGAAGCCAACACCTTTGCCATCGTCGTTGAAGCGACCAGTGAGAGATCCAGAACTTGAAGGTGACGATTATTCTACATATAGGAGTGGCCTAGGGTTGCTGCTTTACACTTGCTCGGACTACCCCGAGATACACTTTGCCGTGCGCATGCTTGGTTCTAGATGCTCGAGTCCCACCGAGTATGACCTTATGCTCATGCGTCACGTCGGGAAGTACTTGAAGGGTCGTGAGAACTATGTGTTGAAACTCTCCAGAACCAGCCCAGGCACCACTTTTGAAGAACGAGTACTGAGTACGCAAGATGGATTCGTTGGAAGATGAGGACTGGAGGGTCAGTAGTGCAGAGCCTAGCTTTAAGCAAGGCCATCTCATCGAGATTGTCACTGATGCCGATTGGGCTTCATCGCATTTCTCGCGGAAGAGTGTGAGCTGTTACTCGATGTACCTGAACGGGAACTGCGTGTATGTGTCCACGAAACTTCAACAGACTTTGGCTTTATCCAGTTGCGAGGCTGAGTACATGGCCTCACTAGCAGGGTGTGCCGATGCATTGTTCGTGAAGGCATTGCTTGAAGAGGTCACGGATTCAGAGGTCACGATCATCCATAGGACGGACAACTCAGGAGCTAGAGCAATTATTTCAAAGCAAGGATGTGGACGTTTGCGCCACATTGACCTTGCTTACTTGTGGCTGCAACGTGAGTACCAGCTTGGACGTGTGATTGAGAAAGTGATTACAACCAAAGCGTGCCCACCTGACATTGGCACCAAGGCTCATCCACGTAGGAAACAACAGTTTCTACTTGGTCTCTTAGGCTTTGTAAACAAGGACACCAAAGAGCTTGCGGGATCAGATGATGTGAATGCGTATCTCATCCAGAGTGGCTTGAAGAGCGGTTTGAAGAGTAGGAGTGGAAAGGCAGCAGTCCGTCTCATCATGGCAATGTTGTTAACGGACCCCGCGGATGCTGCGAACATCAAGGATGACAACGCGGCGGAGTTCAGCGATCACTTCCTCACGAGCTTCGTCATGGTGATGATTGGATTCTTCATGGTCGGCATCTTCACCTACATTGTCTTCTACTTCAACAAGTTGTGCGTGAACAAGGAGAACAAGTGCTTCCGCATCCTCGTGCTCCTGGCCCTTTTCCTCTTCCAGGCGGACGCGGTGAAGTATACCATCACGATTGAGATTGACGGTGAAGGTCGAGTCCAACATGAAGGTGATGAGCAACTACATGGGTTCACTTTGGTGGAAAGCGCGAGCTCTCAACCTGTTGTTGCCCCCGGTGGTGGCGCTACTTCGTCTACGAGCTCTGCGACTGGTGGTGCTACGTCCTCTTCTTCGTCTACGGCAACTTCTTCAGCAACCACCGGTCCTACGTCAACGAGTGGAGCCCCAGCTACGAAAGCAAAGGTGGAGGATGGACCACCCATCGGGTATGCATCCGGTGTCGTTACGGTTTGGCGCATTGGTCATGGAAGCTGCTATCACAGGCAGTTTTGCGGAATGGTGAATCGTGCACGCCGTGTGGAGCCGCACAAGCTTCTTGAGCTTAGTCGACGACAGGCGGAGGCAGCTGGACTGAAACCGTGCAGACAGTGTGGTCCTGAGTCGAACGCGTAGTCTTGTACAGCAGGTGTGTAGTGACAACACACGTTTTCTCCAGAAGTCGCTTTTGAACCTTTGTGTAGATAGGTTCGCGCATTTGTGTATCGCATGTTGCAATGCAGTTCAGAAGCTGTTAACATGCCGTTTTCTTTTGGTGAATACTGAGCCGTGTAAGGACATGTGCATTCTAGAAGAAGAAAGGCCCCAAGATGCCAATGCACAGTCCGGTAACAAGCACGTGTGGTCAGGCTAGTCGAAAAGTCGTGACCCGCAAGAAGGTCCCTGACCATCAACTTTGCATGTACAGTTGTAAGCCTTAGGTCGTGGAGCGCTCTAAGCTTTGTGTGCAGTGTGCTGAGCTTTCTGTTTTGGAGAACCATAGTGGCGTGTAACGTCGGCTACTTAAAAAGTGGCATTGGCTCCGAAAGTTTGCAGCAGATGATTGTCTTTGAAGGACTATCATCTGAGGGGGGTTTCAAACTTTTCCAGAACCCAGAAACCTGTTTTCGTGTGCTTGAGACAGCACTTGCAAAGAACAACTTGTGACCGACTGCAAGGCTCAAAGAAGTGTGAAAATAAGTGACTCGTGCGTTTTCCGCGCACTCTGTTGTTTTCACTTTCTGTCGAGACTTTGAAGCGGTCATGGTTTCGAGAGGACCGGAAACACCTTTTGCTAGAGGTGAAGGAAGAGTTCCGGAAGAACTGAGTACACCGGTGGTACCGGTAAGTATCGCCCCTGGAAGGAGCGAAGGAGTATTGGGACCGACCTACGATGGAGACGGTAATCCGTTGTCAGAGTTGGAGATGCAGAAGTCTGCACAGAAACTAAAGAGCGAAGAGAAGGAGAAAGTACGAGTGGAAGCAGAACCGTACAAACCCTCGGAAGAAGAACGACTTGCTCACGAAGCCACACACCTACCTTTTGCTCATTGGTGTGAGTCATGCGTAGAAGCCAAGAGTAAGCAGGATCACGAAAAGAAGAACCCAGAGGCAGGAAAGGACTCAGTGGGAGTACCTTATCCCATAATTCAGCTGGATTTCATGTTCCTACAAGGAAAGGACACGCCAGCATTGGTTGGAATTTGTTCATGGACACGGATGTCAGTTGTGATCCCGGTATCTGGAAAGCAGACGGAAAGGAAGACAGTGGAGAAAGTGTTGAAATGGGTACACAGTCTTGGACACTTGGAGGAAGTCGGATTTGTTGGAGATTCGGAAGAGGCAATGTTGTCTCTGATAGCTGCAATCGTGGAAACTCGGAGGAAGATGAACCGTAAAACTCACGACCAGAACAGCAAGCTGTATCAGAAAGGAAGAACGGCGAGAGTGGAAAGGTTTATCCAGACGGTGAGGAACCAAACGGTATGCTTGGTACGAGCAGCCGAAAGAAAGCTTGGTATAGAGATTCCCGAAGGCCATGCAGTTTGGGCCTGGGGACTCTGCCATGCGTCATGGTTGCTGAACAGGTACCACAGACACGCCGCGATAGGGTCAACCCCTTACGAAAGTGTCGTTGGTAGACCTTACCTTGGGAAGATCGCCCCATTCGGCGAGTATGTGTATGCGCTGAAGAAACCCGAGAAGAAAGGAGCAGCGAACTGGATTGGAGGAATCTACCTTGATAAGAACTCCCAGGATATGCACTTGGTAGGAGTTGAAGACGGAGTCTTGGCGACAGGATCGGTAAGGCGAATCGCCACTGGATGGAGAAAAGAACCCGTACTGAAGTTGAGTGTAACTCCATGGAACCCCAAGAAACCAAAAGGAACATACAGTAAACAGCCGTTACCAGCCCCAGCGTTGGCAAGTATCACGGAAGAAGGAACGGCACAGGAACCAGTAGTTCGGACAGAAGATCGACGACAGTCCCAAGAAGAACAGGTAGAGGAACTATTGGATATGCTGGACACAAGTGGAGCCTCAAGCGGAGGCAGGGCCTCAGACGGAGGCAGGGCCAGCACAGGATCTAGTTCTCACTCCCGGAGTTCAAGTTCGATGCACGACGTACCTTCTGGAGAACCCGAAGAACGTGTAAGCGACGAGACCATGCTGGAAGATCTGCGGAAGAGAGCCGTAGAAGGAGGACAAGGAGTTGAAGGATCTCCAAAGAAGTCTCGTGAAACGCCGTCAGCACCATCGTCGCCCTCAAAAGGAATCTACCCGCCTTTGTTCGCAGGCAGGGTATCTCAGGAAGAAGACCCATTTCATTGGGATGAACATGAGGATCTTACAGCAGTAGAAGGAGTATGAAGATCTCATGGAAGAAGAGATGGAGGAAGTTCCAAAGAATGACCAAGGAGAAACACCACCGGAATTGAGTCCTGAGGAACTGGATATCTTGGATCAGGAAGCCGCGGTGGAAGAACTGAATCGCCTTGGCAAGCTAGGAGTAATCGAGGAATTCATGGAGGCGAATGCGACAGGTGATGAGAAGCGCATGGATCTGCGCATGCGCGAGGTGTACGACTGGAGGCACCGAGATGGCAGGTGGAAAAGAAGGTGTCGGATAGTGGCACGAGAGTATAGAGCCGGTGCGAGTTCGACTGCGGAGACATTCAGTCCAACGGCGAGCAATGCCGCGTCGCGCCTAGTCTTGTTGTTACATCTGGTATACAACTGGGTCGTCGTAGTACTAGATATAAAGGGCGCGTACCTTCAGGTCCCGCAACAAGAAGAGGTACTGATCACAATCAGCGATTGGATGAAACGAGCAGCGAATCTGAAAGAAGGAATCGTACGGAGGCTAAAGAGATGCCTACCAGGACAGAGGAACGCAGCAACAAGATGGTATGAACACTTGCGGAGTATACTGGAGAAACTTGGATTTGTGTTCTCAGTACATGTACCCGCATTAGCTAGACACACCACAAGGAAGCTGTGTATCTCTATCCATGTAGACGACGAGCTGCTAGCAGGAGAAAGAGAAGAAACCATTTGGTTGGTGGAAGAATTACAAAAGGTTTTCAAGGTGGAGAAAGAAGGACCGTATCCAACGAATGGAGTAGGAAGTGGAGAAGAAATGCGGTATCTCAAAAGGAAGTATGTCTTCACCCAGGAAGGAATTGTTGTCCAACCGAATGAAAAGTATGTCCGGAAGCTCATTGAGTTGTATGACCTTGGAAGATTGAAGAGTAAGGCCACACCAGAACACGTGGATCTGGTGAAGGAAGACCGGAGTAAGGAGTTGAGTGCTGAAGAGACAAAACGGTTTAGATCTGGACTTGGATCTATTTTGTACCTTGCGCAGGACAGAATTGACATTTAGTATGCCTCAAAGTGTTTGGCATCAAGCATGTCGAAGCCGACAGTGCAGGCACTAAAGTGTCTGAAGCACTTGATTCTGTATCTGAGTGGAACAGCCACAAGGGCTACCGTGTTACCGTATACCGAAATCGGAAGCCGGTTGATCACGAAGTTGAATGGCCAAGAGGATGAAGAAATTGCCAAGGATGCAGGACATGTAGTGGAAGCGTATTCGGACAGTGATTGAGCAAGCCTGAAAACACCGGACAGAGCCCGAAGGAAGAGTACATCATCAGGAATCCTTGTACTAAATGGAGTACAAGTGTTGTCATTTTCGAGGACCCAGAAAGCCACATCATCATCAAGTTGTGAAGCAGAGTTGTATGCACTGAGTGGAACTTGTGGAGAAGCTATCCTAGTCGGAAGGCTATTTGAGTTCCTAGTAAACGCGCCTGTACGCGTGGAGATACGGTGCGATTCATCATCTGCGCGACAGTGGAGCCAAAGAAGAGGAGTTGGACGGTTGAAGCATGTGGACGTTAGGCTGTGTCAACTGCAAGATTGGGTACGAGACAATCTTGTGACGCTTGGAACGGTAAGAACCGCGCTCAATGTAGCGGATCTGAATACCAAGAAGTTGTCATATGCCCGAAGGTCATTCCTACTGTATCACTTGTCCCAAGTAGAGTATGATGAAGAAGGAAACCTGGAGTACACTGGAGAGAAAGAGTATGAAAAGCAAAAACAGGAAAAGAGGTTGAAGGAGTATGTCGGAAGTGGACAAATCAAGAACCTCATTAGGGCAATACAAGTATTTCATCTGATGAAGCCGATTACCGCAGCAATGCTCAAGGAGGACGTAGCGGACGCCCGAGCAGAAGCTAGTGAAGCCTTTGGAAAAGGTATGGACGCCATGGATGGATTCTCGTATGCGTAATGCTACTCGCAGCCCCGTATGCAATCAGTATGTGGAAGAAGTTCATGCGCGCGGTGGACCAGATCAAAGGTGTCGGTATGGTGAAAAATATCGACAGGCTCAAAGGCACGTGTGTTCCACAAGGGAACATGTTGGCACGTTCAAGGAAGCCATATGCGTTCTGGCAGATGGATCTGGAAAGAAGAAAGTGAAGCTGTAGCGGAAGGCTACAGACACTGTTGGGTTTGTTTCCCGGAGACGAAGCCGGAAGGTAGTATGCGAAAACGCCGTGGACGCGTAGAGCCACCAATCCCAGACGAAAGCGACTGGGAGGTAATGGACCTTGAGTATGAAGTGGAGTCTACCGGAGGATGCATGAAGCAATGTCACTGGTGCGGAATCAGGAAGTGTACAAGGGAGAAAAAGAATCGCCAGAAATGCGCCTGTACACCGTGTATCAATGAATATGCGACTGCCCAATGGCGAAAGAGTTACGACCGTACCAAAGAGGAAGAAGCCACCGAAAAGGAAGCGGATGAACCCCGTGGATCGGGAGAGACAAGGCATGAGTGGAATGCCGGAGTTCAGAGAAGTGGCACTGGTAGAGGATCCCTGAAGAGACGTGGAAGAGCAGCGATGGGAACGCCAGCAATTGTACATACGGACGGGGCCCGTATGCCCATCATAAGCGAGGAAGACTACGTTCGTGGAATGGAAGCCTTGGGTAGAGTCGTCTCAGGAGAAACTCAGAAGGAGCCGGAGATGATCGAGTACCGTACAAAGATGATAACCGTGGAAGAAATGGGAAACATGATGCTTCCAGAAGGAGCGTTGGAATCATATGAAGCGTATTGTG